GTGTCGTGTATTTCTTAGTAATGAAAAAAGTAACTAAAACATCAGCTGTTCCCCAAAGCTTAGCTCACAATAACTGCCATGCTCATGCACACCACCTGCCGATGGCCTCATTCTGGTCCTGTGACATGAACAGCTTCTACATTCTCGACTGGCTTGCACACACCTTGCCTTCCAGGTAGACCACTGATGAGTTGGTGCTCTATTTCCTCTCTCTGACAACTTCTGATAAGGAGACAAAACTATTCTGTAGCCTCATCTTATCTGACCTCTGAATAGCATCATCCCCCTGTGACCTCTCCCCCTCCAGGAAGTACCCTTTTTCTTCGGTTTCTGTGAAATAACCTTTAGATTGTCCCCTATGCCTTTAGCCCCTCCTCCTCCACCTGACTTTTAAATATGGATGTTTCCTGGATGCAGTGGCCCTAGCAGCTGCCTCCTCTCCCTCTTCTCCCCCAAAGACCTCAAACATTTGGAAATTATCATTTTTGAAATTACCATGTCTCCAAAATGTTTTATGATGTTTATGAAAACAAGTTCATTTTTCATATAGATCATTTGGCTCTTCATGGGGAGACTCTCTCATTCTATGGTTTTACTGTCTCTTTAATCCAAAGCATCTACCACAGAAATGATCACCCTGATAGGCGGCCAGGTGAGACACTATCACCTAGAGGAAGCTGACTATACCAGACCTCATAGGTCACACTGGTTGACCAGTACACCATCTGCACTGACACAAAGAAGGATGCAAAGAAGAGTTAGGAGGGAGAATATTTTTATTTGGCTTAGAATTCTCCAGTGCTCCTCAAAGTGTTGTCCATGTAGGACACTAAAATTCTTTTTTCCTTAAATGAACAAATTAATAAATAATTCTATTCAAGTGGGTTCCATCTAGGCAGGATTCAGATCCAGGGTGGCCTATGGCCAATAAGCACATGATCTCTACTTGCTGAAATGAAGGCTGTAAGTATTGCCAAGCAGCACAACACTTAGGGTTACTTCCTGTCCCCTCAGAGTGTTGGTCTGAGCCATGATCACTGGACTGTAGTGAAAAGGTTTTCTACTCAGACCAACTGACGTACATCTTGCCACCTGATGAGTAAAGAACTCCACAGAATTAAGTTACCCTGGTTTGGATCATGTTGATCATTTTACAATTGACTATCCTTTAAAACTGACTGATCCATCAAACTCACTGAATTTTTCTATACTTCTCTTCAAAATCAAATGGATTAGTATAGCCAGTAAACTGAATGACCCTCATACAGCCATGGTCTCTGAGCTCTTTCTGAAATATAAGAATAGCAAACCTTTTCTAAAACCATCAGATAATCCTTGGTGGTTTCAACTAGAGACATGTGTCCTAAGTGAAGAGTATAAGTAGAAATTTTACTGCTTCAGAGAGGAGATAAGCCAGCTTGGTAGGATATTCTTGGGGCAAAAAAAGAGCGGATAACAGGTGGGAGAGGAGGACAGATTTAAATTATCCAATTCAGTGGAAATCAGAGGTGGGGTGGTGACTGTTTAGATACAGATTCTTTGTGTGGAAATAACTGACAAGCTGCCTGGAGGTGTCTTCCTCTAAAGGAGAGATCAAATCACAAATGGGCAAGAAGGGCATCACTCTATGGGTGCTTCAAAATGTTTTCACTTATTAGAAAGATTTCAGTCCTGAACACAAATTCCAGCTCCCTGCAGAGTTCTTGTGTACAGCAAAGCACATAACTGCAGCAGTAACTCCCCTGTGTCTCCCAAGCTTGCTGCTTTGTGAAATGCCTTTTGTGGGCTTCCTGCAGCTCTGTGCCTCTGTGAGTCATGGCCAATAATTCTCCCTCTCATAAAGCAGCAGGGTACCAAGAGGGCTACTTCCTCCCTACCCTTTCTTTCCTATAGATATTTTAATGTATTAAACATTAAAATGGCATTCTGCAGTCACTAGACCTATTAGCATCTACATTGCTACAAAACAGCATCCCAGTAAAATGCTCAACAATTCTCTGCCTTAGTAAGTTCTTTGAGCATTCAACCCACATTGTTTGAGCTGCTGCATAAGCCCATGTTCTCTTGTACTTCCCTCAGTGAAGTCAGAAAACATTCACTCATTACTCTGCTCAAAAAGGTGTGCCAGGTGCTGTTATAAGTGACAAGGACATAGTATGCCTGATGTCCTAGACTTACAGGTATGAGGAGTTCAGGGAGTGAACGCACATTGTGAAAATGCTGTCAGATGAAGCAGGGAGACTAAGGCCAGGTGAAAGAGGGTGCCAGGAAGGTATCAAGGATTTGGATTTTGACAAAAGAAAAGGAAATGGATTCATGCAAAGAGAGAGAAGGGTAAGGTAGACAGGGAAGCAAGTTACTAAGAATTTCAGAGGTGTATGTATTGGGAATGCCAGCCTATTTTTTTTGTAAAAAATCAAAAACAAAAACAAAAAATAAACAGAAAAGCCAGATAGATTCTTTGCTGAAATATGTAATGAACAAGGTAGTTGAGGAAGGTTCTATGGGTAGACAGTAAAAGAAAGAACTAAAGAATCAACCCAATTTGGAAGCATTAGTTGTACACTGACTTAATTCTTAGGCTAACTCAGACACTGAGGCAGACAATGAGGAGATAAGTAGCAAGAGGACCACGACCCTGTACTTGAGGGGAACATCATCTAAACAACCATAAATATGTACTCTGCTTCTAGGATAAAAGACAGATGGTAAACGTAGGTTTTAGAAACTATGTTCTTCCTTAATATGTGGAAGGAATATATTTTCAACACAATACCTCACCAAAATGAATGCACACCCAGGCCCTTGAAGTATGGATAGGAGCTGAAAGAGATCAAGACGTGATAGTGCAGAGTTTCCTGTGACAGGGCAGGTGCGTGTTCACATGTGTAAGGAGCGTCTGCTGTCACAGACGGGTTCCTAACCAAATTAGTTAGCCCGGGCCACACTGCACTGGTGTGACCTTTAAGATGCTGGGTTTTTAACTGTATGTGTGAACGCATAATCCCTGACTCGAAGGCCACAGAACATGCTTATTGTGAAGGTCCAGGTTAATGTTTGCCCCTCCACAAAAGAACACAGAAACAGGGCTGGGTCCTAGGCTGGAAAGAACCCTCTAGCTTCCTGGGTGGGGTTGGGCTTCAGGCTTTGGGGAGACATTTGGACTTGAGGGTGAAGACCGCCACCTCTAAAGTGCCCCTTTGGTGTTCATGTGTGTGTCACATAGCCGTGGCTGTCACCGAACACTATTTTTGATTAGAATTCACCAACACTTTTCGCCTGCTGATTGCTGGGTATCGCTACTGAATAAAACATTTGTCTTTAAACATGCACAAACACATTTAAATTACTTCAGATGTGTTGCTCTGCTACCTGCTTTGTGTTAGTATTTACTGAAATAACTGTCCATTGGTACTATGGCTATCTTTGTAGAAACACGCAAATGTATTCTGCTCTGGTAGGGTAAAAAGCATTTGCTTCATTTGTATGTACTGGTAGAATTTTTCCACATTAATCATTTTTCCAGTATTTTGCATTTTATTGCCTGCCACGAAGACCGACACTAGCATATTTCTCTATCAGTTCTTTTCTCAGGGTTAAGAGAATACTGCCACTTATTCAGAAGTAACGATTTCTGAAAGATCCTGAGATTCATACGTCACATTTACAAGATAAAATGTGAACTCACTGTTTAAAATCACTTCAAATATGTATAAAAGAGAAGCCCTTGATTTCCCCGATCACTTTCCTAAAGAGCTGGAATGAGTCCTGACATGCTCCTGCCAGCTTGAGTCACTGGTGGCACACGTGTGACTGTCCCGTCCCGTGGCCTGGCCACCCATGAGCAATCGGTGGTTCAGAGCAGCCTGGCATGAGACATGAATCACATCCCTGGCAAGAATATGTTAAACTCTTAGCTGTTTTTATGAGGGATCTACAGTATCTCTCAAAGATTAAAAATGTTACTAGCACTCAGGACTGGCAAGTGTATTCCCACACACCAATGATACAAACTGATACACTTTTTTTACAGGGCAGGTAAAAGTTAATGTACCCTATGCAGAATGAATCTCAAAGATGAAAAAACATTTAGCCTGGCAACTTTACTTATGATAATTCACTTTGGTTATGGTATTTGTCTCAACACAACTGACAGTTACAAAAATCCTTGGAATAATATGATTATTACTAGCCATCTAATCAAATAAAACACAGCATATCTGCATAATGGAATTCCATGTAGCCTTTGAAAACGGCTGTTAGAGCTGGTCTCTGGCTTGAAAAGGTGGCCCCGATGCAGGCATGTCTGCAGAATAGCAGCCTCCCGTGTTGTATAGGCACCTGCTGTCTCAGCCACTCTCCTTGTTGCTGGGACAAAACACCCAACACCTGCAACTTACAGCTGGAGAGATTTATTTTGACTCAGTTCAGAAGTTTCACTCCATGTTTGGCAGGCTTAGAACAAGCCGCAGCATGGCAGAAGGTCCCGGCTGAGGAAAACTGCTCACGTCATGGACCAAGGAGCAGGACGAGGGGCATGGGGAAAGAGATTCGCCCCAGGGACGGCCTCTCTCTCAGCAGGCTCATCCCTAGTCGTGAGTCAGCTGTAGCACCCTAGAATTCAGTCAGTTCGCAAAGACCTGTCTGTGGGCTCCTGTGGCTCCTGGGGCACAGCCAGATATAAACTGTAACACATACACAGAAAATATTTAGAAGAATGGCCACTGACATTTCTGTTAAAGCTCTGTTTCTTTTATCTGAATTTTGCCATTTTTATATAATAAACATGTATGGCTTGTATAATTACATGTGCACTCATTACCATCTCAATAATGGCTAGAAAAGCTTCTCTTCTGACTGCGCTGCCCCTAGACTCATGCGCTTTGAACCAATATGGCAGGAGTAGCCCATGCTTGCGAAATCTGATGACCACTGTCCCTCCCAAACCCAAGCCTCCTAGCTCAGCTGTCCCCCGCCATGAAAGCAAGGATTCTGCTCACCAAACCATCCTGCACATGGGGTGTGTTCAGGAGCCTCTGGAACCCGTTCTCTGTCATGACTCCCAGCCAGTTGAGTGCTGCCCAGCACCAGAGGTAGTTGTAGCCGCCGTGCCAGTAGCTCACAAATGCAAAGGTCATCGCAGTGGAGAGCAGGGTCCCCAGCAGGCCACGCTGGGACCCACCCAGAGGAATGTACATGTACCTAGAGAGAGAAGAGGCTGTGAGAGCCACACTAAGGATGCATCTGCAAGCCCCACCAAGCTCCTGGACTTGGTTCTCCCGTACACAACACTATTCAAGGCACGCAGGCCCTGCCCAACCTCCAGGAAGCTGCAGACTGACCAACCATTGCTTGGGTTCTCCAACAAATTAGGAGCTTGCAAAAAGCCAAGCCTACATACTGAGGGGTTTTAGGGTGAATGAACACAGGGTGAAGACCTCTCGTTACTATGGCAAAACAGCACTTACAAGAGGCAGGAAGAGAAGCCATGAATTTAGAGTTTCTAAAAGGATTGTGCCCAGCCCTGAACACCCAGTCATAGAATAGCAATCAAGCTGCTGACTACGTGGGGATGTCCATCTTCAAGATATCTATGGACTCTACAGCTCAAACTATTTAGTGCATGGTATCCTGCTATTTAAGGATGACTGCTAACTTCAGGGCCTTAAACAGCAGGAGCTGGGTTCAGACGAAGGTGCCCAGGCCAGTACTCAGCCTTCCAGGAAAGTTTCCCAGAAGGAGCAGCGAGTTCGCCAGTTAAGAGTTCTGCACTCCCAGGGCAGCCAAATCTCCACCCAACTGCACGGCCACCCAGGTGTTCTCCACCAACACAGCTGCCCTGGCACACGGCAGGGCCGCGGCCTTCGATCACGTCTTCCTGATGGAGTTGGACTTGACAGCTCACGGCCAGAGCGTCAGAACCTGGAGAGTAGCAGCATGCCCTCTGCAGCTGCTTTTAGAAACAAAGTTCATTTATTGCTGGCTTGTGCTTCTTTTCTAACCTCCCTCCAGGAAGGAAAAGGAAGTCATCAACGGACTACATGCACATCCTTGCGTAGCTAGACGTAAAGCTAAAAACTTCACATGGCTCTTGTTTGCATCTTTGAGTCACAACCTGGTTTACACTTGCCATCCTGGCATTCCAGTTTTAGTAAGCCGGGGATTGAACTCCAGTCCTTGCGCTTGCAAGGCGGGCCACCGAACCACTGAGCTAAATCCCCGCCCCTTAGTAAGTCACTCTTTAGCAGAACCATTTATAGAAAGGCAAGTGAAAAAAAATAATAAAATTTATCAAGCCATACAGAAATGTCAAAACACTATGCAACAGTAATTAAACAGTAATTATTTTATTTAAAATATATTTTAACTGGTACACAAAAACATAAAAATTACAAATATTAATAGGGTACCACGTGCTGTCTCAATACTTGCATATGCTGTATAATGTTACCTGTCTCCTCCAGCTTTTGTGATTTCTTTATGGTGAAAACTTCCAGTCTTTTATCCCAGCCTTCTGAAATGTGCACACATTGGAGTTACCCATGGTCACCCTAGTATGAAGTGGCACAGCAGAACATCCTGCTTCTGTCTGTGACTGCGATTGTTTTTAAATGTCCTCCTTGACAGTCTGTCCCCAACAGCTTCAGCCCAGCTCCTCTGAGCCCTGCAGACCCCTGCTCGTGAGGCCCTCACCCCAGCTGCTCTCAGTTTAGAGAGCACCCCCATGTAAGTGATCACTCTGGACACCTGGCCAAACTTATTATCCCCACCTTGGTATCTAAGCAGCCTGGCCTGCTCCCAGCAAGAACTCCAATGGGTCTGCTTAACCAGAGCCCCTGTATGCCCACAGCTCCTCTCAGTAAAGTAATTCTTTTTTCTTTTTCTTTTTCTTTTTTTTTTTTTTTT